TATAACACACGCCTGGTACGGTGGACTCCACCGTTGGCGGGGTGGGTGAAAGTCAATACGGATGGCTCGATTACTCGTACGGGCCTTAGTAGTGCTGGGGGCCTCATTCGCGATGAGGGGGGACGCTGGATAGCAGGATTTATTATGACAATTGGCCCGGGCACGGTTCTCCTTGCCGAGCTTTGGGGATTGATACGAGGTCTTACGTTGGCATGGGATAAAGGGTACCGGCAAGTGGAGTGCGAAGTTGATAGCCTTACAGCGCAGCAGCTTGCGATTAGTTCGACCATTGACGTTGGTGATCATGAAGTTCTGGTACGGGCCATCCACGAACTCCGGAGTAGAGACTGGGACGTTCGGGTCACTCATGTTTATAGGGAAGCAAATCATTCAGCGGACTTTGTTGCCCGCCTTGGGCCCTCGCTTCCCATCGGTTTTCACGTATTAAACTCTCCCCCTCCCGGACTACGCACTTGGCTAGAGCGGGATAGTATGGGTGTTGCTTTACACCGACAAGTCCTAGACTAGGCCCTTGGCCTCTTTCCTTGTACCAAAAAAAAAAAAAAAAAAAAAAAAAAAAAAAAAGAGAAAGTAAACAGTCGAAGGTCCAAACTTTTCTTTACTTTAACATATAACTTAAGTTTAAAGGAGTACATAATACTCTATTAAAATTATACAAATTTTTCTTGGAAAGTACTAATTTTTATTTTATGTTTAAGAAAACTAAATAAAAAAATATAAATTAAAACTCGTTTGAAAATGGGATGACTTCACTTAACTATTTTATTGACATTCAGTAAAATAATTGAATTGTGTAAACATAAAATAACATTTTGTATATACAAGCAGGAAGAGATAACAAAAGCGTTAAAAGAATAAGAGAAAATATGTAAAAAGTTATTAACATTACTAATAATATTTTTCATGAGATGTTCAAGGTGTAGAAAATATGAAAAACTTTGTGTAAAGAATTAAAAAGTTGAGATTTAAGATTAATTTTATTGTGTCTGTTGTAGTGTAGTCGTTTGAGTTGCTTTTTTAGCATTGCTAGTTTAGGATTTAGGCGATCTTGGGATTGTCCTCCCAATTTTAGGCCTTTAGTTGTACTATTCAGCTGTTAGTTGTTTTTTTTTCGCACTTTGTGCGGTTTTAGTTATATTTATATTTAATATTTTAGTATATAATTAATATATATTTATATATTATAAAAATATCTAATAGTGGGTCCTGGTGTCACAGGGTCGGGGTCGCCTGGTCTGGCTTCATATATCATTGAGTGTGATTTTATAACTATTATAATACCTGTGTACTAAAGGTGAGCATTGGTCGGTATGGTTCGGAGATTGACAAATCTCCGGAACCGTACCGAAATTCGGAGATTATTAAATTTCAATCTTCGGAACCGTACCAAAAAAACCAGTTTGATTCAAAAAAAATTATTTTTCAGTTCGGTTTGGTTCTCAAGAGTATCGGAACGTTTGGTTCGGTTCGATTCGGCTCAGATATTCGGATGATTCTAATTATTTTTAAATTTTTTAATGGCCACCTAGTTCTATTATAATTTTTGTATTTTTTTTTGTTAAATCCAACATTTATCACTATATCATACTAAAGATTTTATTTTTAAATCAAATGTAGAAGTAACTTTAAATTTTAGTTCCAATTAAATTTGTGCAACTAACATTGAAAATTCAAACTTCAAACCAAATATAATATAGTTTTTTTGTATTAAAGTAATATTTCTTTAACCTTCCATACACACACACACACACATATA